GGACGTCACAAATCCTCTTCTTCCCAAAACTCAGTCTTTTGGCAAATTACTTCATACATTGCTGAGAAACTCCACTCCATTGCTCTACCGGACAATGATGAATTAAATGATCTTCTCGCTGAATGGTCCCTCCTGTAAGACCCCATCCACCAAGATTACCAGATGCTGGTTGATCAATTGAGAGTCCTCGCTCTTAGGGGCAGAGCTAGTGTGTGTCGAGGGAGCACATGCCCCTATCTTGGCCCTGCCACTAAAATATATACTATCTTCATCCCATATTAATTGTCCACTTCAAAAATTTTGACTTACAATTTTTGTGAGTCAAAGTTACCAAAGTAGACTTTTTAATATGGGATATAGATAGTATATAAAAAGAATATGACTAAAAATGATCGCAAATGAAAAAAATAAATAAAAGGTGATAGTGAGTTAAAGTTTTCGAAATGGAGAACTAATATGGGACGGAGGTAGTAGTTAATTTATATAGAAATCTAGATAATGCCCCTAAATTTATAATTTTTAAAGTTTTTTATTAAATTTTTTTCTTAATCCTCTTTTTTTTTTTTTTTAATAAAAAAGTTAAAATTTCATTTTAATTTTTTTTCTTTTTAAAGTTCTTAATTTTCTTTTATATATATTTTTCTTTCCTACTTAAACTTATTCTTTTTGCACTTATGTAAGATGTATGTAATATGTAATTTTTTTTATTTATGAAGTCAAATGGTGCAATTTTCATACATCGCTTTCAAAATACAAAGATTTACAATTACATTCAATGAAAATATTACTAAACTCTATGTATTTATATTTCTCAAACTACTAATTGATTTAACCTGTTATTTTGCAATGATTTTTTTTAGCCTTTGCTCTTTGATTTGAACAATTTATATTTATCATGTTACAAATTTTTTTTTTTTTTTTCAGCATTGTACTCCCTTAATTGAAATTCTGGCTCCGCCCTGCTCGCTCTACCAACCTTGGGCCTGGTTCTTATTGGTTGTTTCTGTGGCCTCTTGTTCGGCCCTGACTTCTGTTTTTTTCTTGCACGCCCTGCAAGTTATTTAGGCCACTCTCACTTTTTTTTTTTGGAAGGTAAGTTAAGTATATTGAAATAGTAAAAATGAACAAACCCATAGATTTACAGAGCCCTTGCTCTTACATAGCCCATTGGAAGCAGCCCAATACAAGAACCCAGAAGCAACCCAAGGATAAGCATATCCTTAGAGTGCAGCAAATGTTGTAAGCCAAAGCCGAGAGACAATTTCCGGACAAGGTTGCCCATGCAATGAAATCTCTCCAAGAGGGAGGGCATGTGTAGAAGCTAGGCACAACGTGTTTATAAAAATGACCAAATGGGCATTTGAAGAACAAATGATTGTGGGATATGCTGCACAAATTGGGAGTGTACCAGTGTGCAGCTGGTTCCAATCATAGGTAGGTAGAGTGGGATTCGGGCGCGAATCCTCTGAAGTGGATTCTCATGCGGTTCCTACAGTGAGCTGCTTTGAGGCCTTGTTTTGGTCATGTCTATTTATATTTATAATATAAAAACGGGCTACATTATAATAATAAAAAATGGCTTTTTCCGCTAGTATTTTTCCTTCCGTTAACTTATACGGAATAAGCTTATTACAGGAAAACAAAAAAAAGAAATAAGAAATTAAAACTGTAAAAAAAAAAAGAAAAAGAAATAAGATTATTATGGTTGGCAAGTTAGCGTTAACTTCACTATTCCGTTACTTGCCTTTTTTATTATACCAATCCAACAAGGCCTTAAGAAGCTCACTGCAGGAACCGCATGGGAATCCACTTCAAGGATTTGCGCCCCACTTTTGTTCTTGCTCTTGTAAGATGTTTAGGCCTTACTCAGTTGCTTAACCTTTTCCCCAAAAAAATAAAATATTGACATTATCGATCATCAATTCATATAACTTTATCAGGAAATTTTTTTTTTTTTTTTTTTACGAAAGATAGGTGGTACTGGTAAATTACTTTCCCTCAAAAAATTTCTTTTCTAAATGTCCAAACTCCTAAGGTTTTGTTTGGTTAGAGGAAATCAATAATGGAAAGTGAAAGTGAAGAGAATGAAAGAAAAAATCAAATTTCTAGCATGAAATTGGTTTTCATTTAAAATTTTTAGAAAACTACCATGAATTTGAATAGCATGAAAATTACAAGAAAGCATAATGATTTACGTAAATTGCCTATTTATATTAAATAGGATATAAGGTCTAAATAAATTTATATTGGCTAAATATTTTGTGGTCTTTCTAAATCACCTAGAGAGAGAGATAAACTATTATGCTATTTCTATCAAAAGTAATGCATAAACAAATTTTACTAGCATTATTGAAAGTTCACATAATTTTATCAGGAAAGCAAATTTTCCAAAAAATTATCTGAAAGTTAGGTAATTATGAAAAATTACTTTTTCACAAAAATTTTCTCCTATTCAAACTCTTAAAATGTTCCGTTTATTTGGACGTAAAATATTTTTCAGAAAATATTTTTTTATTTTTTTGTGTTTGGTTGTTGTAAAATATTTACAAAGAAAAAAATATTAAAATTTAACAAAAATAATTTATCCATAAATTTTCGGCAAGTTATTTAACATGCCCTAACCGATGGACTCGACCTTGCCAAATATCGAAGTGTAAATAAAATAAAATATATATATATATATTTTACTTCAAAATAAACGAAGTGTAAATAAAATTTCAGTAAGGAAAAGCAACCTTAACTTGTAGTGTAAGAATAATGCACTTAGGTTTGATTTCCTACACCTGAAAAAAAAAAAAAAAGTTCTCACCATGTAAAAGTTGGTGACTTGCACTCCAACTGCTCTCCCCTCTTGGTCACCTCTACCCCGTCCATTTATTTTTTTTAACCTCTCTCTTTTTCCTATTAAATTTACCAAACAAACTTGTTATTCATGTTACATTCTTCTGTTACGAGACGTTTTGTTTGGTATATGCACAACGTGAATATATTTATACATGTGGATTAATATTAGCCGTCCGATGACCCCCGATTAGTGAAAAGTATGCAAATCTGAAGGACCCCATGAGTTTGGATTGTATGTTGCAACGTCTGATTTTGTGCATGGCTTCAAGGTATAATTCATCATCCTAATTTGGGAATTAGGTAGACATGGCTTGTAGAAACTAACAAATTATGTGCCTAATAGTGTTAATACTTACAGCTATATATATATATATATATATATATACACACACACACATCTATGTATATCTTCTCTCTTCCATGAGTTTGGATTGTATTCAAGTTCCTGTAATGGCATTCAGAGTCACCATTAAACACTGCCTTTTTGCTTTGGCTTTGACATACATAGCTCTTCTCAGTTGCAGATTTGGTATGTAACGAGATGTGTGTGTTTTTGTGTGCGCGCTTGTGTGTGTATTATTGATATACCATGTAAATTTTGACAGGGAAGGCAGAAGAGGATATTCCTCAACCCAGTGCAGTACATGATGATCCAGCTCAAATTGTTGCTAAAGCATTGCTTTGTTTCAATGATAAGTTTGTAAGTGAGATTTTTAATCATATATATATATACACACACACACACACACATAGTATTGTTCACCTGCTTACTGTTCTGTAAGGAACTTATACACGAAATCCGACCGTAAAACATTTATGTATATATATGTGTGTGTGTGTGTGTTTAATATTAGTAAACACTCTGTGGCTATCATCATTCTAGTAAGAATTAGGACATCTTTTGCAGGCTTGTTTAACATCACTTTTTTTTTTTTTTTTTTTTTCAATTTTTTCACTAATTTTATAGCAGATTTACAGTAGCTGTGACGAAGAATATAGATTGACTGAGAGTGGAAACATCAAAGTGCCTCCTGAATATGCTGATCAATACTGCACCGGTTCGTGCCTCATTGAGACACACCTCGTGCTCAACTGCATCGACAACATAATGACGAACTTCGTGTTCTACAACAAGGCCACGATACAGGATGTGAGAGATACGATCACTGCAGGATGTGGCCATGGTAGTCAACGAGGTAGGTCATGAAACCACACCATTATGTTTTGATATATAGTCGGTCGTCGTTTCAGATACAATCATTGCTTGGTGTAATGGTAAAAGTTCAAATTAACAAACCTAAAAAATTTAATTTTAAGTCCGAGACAGTAACTAGTCAAAGTTGTAGATGGAACCGACACTGAGTAATGACCTTTTTGTACGATTTACATTTATGTGTAGGCAACTTCAATGTAGCTGAACACTTACAAGCTGAAAAAAGTGACGGGGAGAAGAATGCCATCTCAATCCTGTTTGGGCTTGTTTTGATGACCATAGGGCATGGATTGCTGCTTTGAAGCATAAAGCGATGGACTAAAAGGAGATTATAGTAATTAATGATGATAGTAGTTTATTAGTGATTGTCTTCACCAACTCTTCATGAGATTATAACTTATTGTATACCCTAGCTTGGTATTGATAAAGATTATATATGTCCCTATATATATGTATGGGCTAGTAAGGAAAAGATTTTGCATACAATTCGTATAAATCATATTATGATTATGCAATGTTAAGAGTTTGCAATAACCATTACAATTTTGTTGTGTCCACCCTACCTTTTTATTAGTCCTCCTTCCTACCAACCTCCTGCAATCCGGTGAAGTTGAAGAAATTATAGCTATATATATATATATATATATATATATATGAATGTATTTTGTTGAATTCAACAGAAGTATGCTCCAAACCGCCAACTTTTTTTTAGCTTTGTGCTTGCGTGACTGCTAGTGGTCAGCCAGGGACCATTAATTAGTGATTGACCGGAATCATGTGGTAATTTCTCCTTCTAGACAATCAATTAGTTTTCGATGATCATGTAATAATTTCTCATTTTATTTTATTTGCATATTGAGATGGCATAACACCGCTGATTTGTCAACAGAAGAAAAAAAATAAAAAATAAAAAACTCTAATATTGTATTTGGCTGCAGAGAAAGTTGGGAAAAGAAAAAATAAAATAAAATTTTGTAAAGTAAGCTAGATACAGTCATTTAGTTAGTTTGACGACAGCTCTCATGCTATTTTTCTTCAACCAAACAGAAGTAACAGTAGAACTAAAGCATGATTATATAGATAAAATGATTGTCAAGTTACCTGACACATGGTTCGCCGTATCAACCGATACATGACATATCGCCCAGTTCATAACCCAACGTCCGATACCGTTATATACCTCCATGAACAGAAAAGTTTACATTAATATTCGTCCAAGTCCGTCACACCGCGACCGCGAACCGAAACTGATAACTATGACCAGACACAAACAAAAGATCCAGAAAAACTCCTTGCTAATAGAGATGCTGCTTGTGAAAATGCCAGCAGCTTTATCCAATTGTGGCCGGATTGCAAATTTCCGAAGCTATAGACGCATCCAAATGTTGCTCGGGCAAGATGGACTGGTGAAGACCACAACTGAACTAACCCAGCCTTTGAGTTCTGGAAACCTGGCAGTGGCACTAACTTGAACGAATATTGGACCATTATATCAACATTATGCAGATTCTTCGTCTGTGCCCCTGTAATGCTTCCGACTCTGGCCTCAACTACTTCCAGGTACAACACCATTTGCTCCCAATGGGTTGTGTTCTTGATCTTCGCGCTGCATAATATATATTTTAACTGGTCAGAAGCTTAATAGAAATTATGTAGAAGCTACTTACATTATAATTTTTGTCTAAATCTGGATTGATCAGACACTAACACAGTCCCCTCGCTGTGTGGTACCCCCCCCCCCCCCCCCCCCACACACACACGGACTCATTCAGAAGATCAGACTAAACTCGTACAAATCAGCCACAGATTTGAGACCAATTATCTACCTTTTAATTCTCAATATTTTGTCCAGATATATATATATATATATCAACCAGTGTCATCCAGATGACCAGACTGACTCATCAGCTGAATGATGCTGAAGTGACCCACCAAGCAGGGTCAAGTGGTCAACAGAGAAACATTTTATAAAATAAAAAAATAGAAAGAAAATAAATAAAAAGCCTTCCTAGAAGTCACAATCTAATTACAGTTGGTTTAATATTCAACAAGTAGATTTTATAACATCTAATCAAGTGAAAAAAAAAAAAAAAAAAAAAAAAAACAAACTGGATTTAATGTGCCTGATCCTAGATTGAAATTTGAGATTTTTCTTTCAAATTTTATTACCATCTAATCAACAAGAGGAGCCTGCAAACTTATGAACACGTTAAAATATGCTACAAGAGCATAAATGTAATCGCCAAGTTCTGCCACAACCTTAAAAGGAGATGTGAAGGAAGCATCCCCAACTCCAAGAGCCATCTTAGATATGTCCAACATCTATGGAAGGAAATAAATGCAAAAGACGCACACGTTGTTCTAATCAGAGAGAAAATTAATCAAAATTATAATTAACTACAAGACTAGAAGTACTTCAAGTACATGCATCTCTTACCTTGAGTAACTAACTGGCAGTTAATACCAATCTGATTCTGGTCAACCGTGTCAAGAAGAGGTTACATCATAGTCTGCTTCTCAATCCAGCTCATGTTGAAGCCATACACATTGTTCCAAACTGCAGTTGCATGAGACTGGCAAGAAAAAAGATTAACGAAAAAAATGCAATAAAGTGCACAAAAACACCTTAATGGTGCAAAGTTAAGAAGCTTGAATACACGTACATGTATGACGTGAAATACAAAGAAAACAACATTCATCAACAGCAATGCATCCAGGAGATGACTAGAGATCACATTCAATCTTGTCTTTCTTTCTTTCTATTCAGCATCCTCAATGGCCATTAAATAGAGAGAACCCTTGGCTGGAAGAACAACTCCATTTTATATCAGCGAATAATCAAGGAAAATAGGTTAACAAGGGCACATGTTAGTTTAACATGGGAAATAATAAAAGTAATAACAGATGCTGCTTCTCTATTAGGAAATTATATATTACACTCACAAAATAACATTGAAGTCAAAATTGCAACATTACCAAAATCACCTCATTAAAGCAAGCAAATGATTGGTCAGCACCATATATTTACACTATTAGAGATAAACAGGTGTTCTTGGGATCTAATTGTCCAATCCCCAAATCATAGACCACGAAAACATTGTTAATTTGTCAACCATTTTCATCTTCGGTACCTTTAGGTGAAGTAATGCAATCAGCTATGAAAGAAAAGAAATAAATCTGAAGAAGGGAAAAAAGAGCCTAGAGGTACCATACCCCTACTTTCCGAAGGGAGGTAAAGGGTTCGAACCTCGGTGGAAGCATGTGTGTGTGAGTACCAACCAGGAAAAAAAAAAAAAAAAAACGAGAGCAAGATTAAGCTAACGAATAGCTTAAACACCCACAACTGAATCCTAAAGAAAGGGAGAAATAAAAAGTTGCTACAGCAGACTAGATATATTGATAATACATAAAAAGTTGCTGAATACAACTTGGAACAACCCTTTTATAAGCCCCAAGGGATGCCCTAGCAAAGATTTAATCCTAACCCTTCTTATAAATATAATCTAATGGCTACTATTCTGTCCAGCAGAATAAAAGATGTTAAAATTGACAAAACAGCCCTTAAGTGGTCACATGACACGCTTAATAGGCACATGACTCATTAAATAGAAGCGAAATGATGGAAAAATAAAAAATAAATAGAAGCGAAATGACAAAATTATCCCAACTAAAGCTTAAGGAAAACATCAAACAGAAAATTAAGACAGATTTATGACTTAACTAAATGACTTAAACCCAATAAACAATGCCTCCCCTATTAATGCGATCTCAGTCTAGTCTTCTTAGGATCTTCAATTGTTTGAAGAAAATCCTATTCCATTTGCACTACATCATGAAGGTAGTGTTTACATAACATGGCACATCATGCTCTAGCTTAACCAAGTTGTCCCAATACTTCAATCACAAGCCACCGTGCATGTCTCAAGTGTTGGGGGTAGGGGGGATACAATAAAATATTAAATAGGTTAAATTACACTAACCTCCCTGAGATTTCGTCAATATACACTGATCTCCCCTCTTGTTTGCCAAATTACACTAACCTTCCCTGACATAGCTGTCGGATCGTTAATGGATCGAGTGAAATTACGAATCTGTCCTCATTATATTTATTTGTATTTTATTGCAAAAACTGATAGATTTTGAAAAGACAAAAATGTCCATCTGTCAAAATCAAATTACTGTATCTACACTGTTAGAAACCCCATGCCCATTCTTCACCTACCACAATCAACATCCCCATTCTATAACATCATCAATGTCAGATTGTTGTATCTATACTGTTAGAAACCCCCCATGCCCATTGTTCACCTATCACTGTATTTCACTATTAATTTTTTTTAATAATGAAAACAAGAACTAATAGATCTGAAAGAAAATTGAAGTACATTCACTATAACAGTATACGTCTCAAAACAAATTTGCAAGCTTCATCGACATCTGCATCGACATATGCGAAATGATAAGCTCTAAAAAGTGTGTGTGTGTGTGTGTGTGTGTGTGTGTGTCACAAACAAGTATAAGAATAACCTGTAGTCACATCTTTATTGGTGTGTGTATATATATATATATATATATATACCAATAAATCATAGACAAGAAAAACTTCATTAGCGTGAGTAGGGACAAGAATGGAGATGAGAAGACTGCGATGGCGAAGAGAACATTGGTTTATATGCATATAAATCAATAAATCATAGATACCTAAATCTTGGTTTTCTGTTCAAAGCCTCATACCAATAGGAAATTTGAATAAGCATTCTCCACCATTGCTGCCTTGTAATTTTGTTCAACTCATTCATTTATCACAGGTCACCCATGTGAAATGGCATCAATGATCAACCTAGCAACTGGAAGAACTTAAATCTCCCAAATGATCCATAAAGCTTAAATATCTCCAAAGCATCTCAACAATGCTGCACCACATTTCTCCACTGTCAAGAAAACACAAAAGACAATTCACTGATATATCTCATTCATCGGAAAATTAATTTCAAAGCAAGAACATTGCTTCTGTTGCAGAACTTTAATTTTTTATGCCAAACACAAGTTCTAGAAACTTTATAGAAAAATCACAGACAATTTAGAGCATCAAGATGAAAATTGCAAGATTTTTGGGTGCAAGAATTCCCGAGTTCAATTCTCAGAATGCCTCTTTTTCTTCTCTCTCTCTTTGAATTACCTAAAAAAATAATATTTTTTATGTTGGGAAGATAACCTGTATTAAGGATACAGAAGGAACCATTTTTCTTTTTGAAAACAAATATACGAACCAGTGACTGGCTGCCTGCAAAGCAATCTCACATACTTAAGATATTTAATAGTGAAAACAGTTCAGATAACTTCAGTTTGAAAGGAACTAATAGGAATTTTTACCCTTCATGTTATCCAACTACACATCTAGGATACTGAAAGCTCCAATTTTCCATTCAGTCCGTCCAGTAATTTTGGAAGAAAAAATCAAGCATTTGATGCTTCATTAATAGGAAATTGTTTTCGCCTTGGAAAAGAAAAATAATAGTGAGGAGGCCCTGGATGACATGGGCCAGGTCCGACTCGCAAAACACAACCTTCAGTCCGAACAGCTGGGTCAGCCCATAAAAAGACACTGCCATATGGGCCGAGCGGGAGTAAGCCCATCAAGAGTGACCAGGGCTTACTGAGGAATAGGCCCAGGTCCAGCAATTAGTAAATATCTTGTAAATATCTTGTAAATATCTATAAATAGGAGTTGGAATGAAGAGGATGGGGATCTTGATTCGGGTTGAGGTGTAAGAATTCTAGAGAGAGAAAGAATAGAAGGAGTTTCTTGCATCTTCAATTGGCGCCGTCTGTGGGAAACGCATAAAAGTTTGGTTGATCAATGAGGAGGATCGAATGGATTCAAACCAATTCGGTTGATCGAGACTCGATCTTGCGAATTTGAATCCAGATCTGAGCGATTGTGACCTACTCTGGAGGAATTACGATTCTTGAAGCTTTGGCAGGAGTGACTTCAGATCTACGCAACCGCGAGTTGCTCGATTGTGACAGGATCTGACGGATTTAGAGTCCAGGCAATTCAGATCTTGTAAACAGTGAGCATAATTCGGAGAATTAGAAGCCAGATCTAAAAATTCCTACTCACGAAGCTTAGATCTACTCGCGAGCTTGAGATTAATGCCTTTACTCCGTTCGGGAATAATGATAGGTGAAAGCTCCAATCCGATGGAGGCTGTCCAGCAAACAAAGCTTGAAGAGTTGATGAATTTGATTGAAGCTCTCAGAAAAGAAAATGCAGAATTGAAAGCTGGATTGCAGCATCGGCAAATACCCGCAGTCTCGCATCCGCTTCCGGTCGGAGAAGGAGGTGTTCCATCTAGTATCGCGCATCAAGGCGATCAGAACGAGAACAATCAGTCAGCTCACCACCGTGATGAAAGGATGATGGACAATTCGCCGCCAAATGTTCGTCGAGTTGAAGATCACGAAGGCTCGACTCACGTTGATCCGCAGCGGGAAAGGTTTGACCGAGAGGAAGTGATGGAGGTAGATCGCCGTCGAGTAGCGTCGCCTTGGCAGAGAGAGTTCATAGAGGAACGGTCGTTCGATCCGTCTTACCGGCCCTCCATGGTTACTGTCACTCATCGCGGTTCGGAGGGCAGAACCGTAACTCACAGAGCTACCGCCGGACTCCAGAGAGAGAATGAAGCTCTCCGATCCGCAGCTCGGACGGTGGATTCACCATTCACCGACGAGATCTTGAATGCGCCGCATCCAAGGAAGTTTGCTATGCCAGTCTTTATTCTGTTTGACGGAACAACCGATCCGATCGATCATGTGTATCATATCCAGTTGAAAATGGCCCTGAACACGGAAAACGACTCTTTAATGTGCAAATGCTTCCCTACAAGTTTGGCCGGACCGGCGCTCAGCTGGTTCAAAAACTTGCCTAGGAGCTCCATTGGCAGTTTCAGGGACCTGTGCGATCGGTTCATAAGCCAGTACTATGGGAACAAACGCCCGCCGAAGGACATCTCGAGCCTGTTCACGATGCGGCAACACAAGGATGAACGGCTCCAGGCCTTTCTTACCAGGTTTAATCTCACTAAGAGTATGGTAATCGAATGCCATCCTACTACGGCAGTTCAAGCCTTCAAGTTAGCCATGACACGCGGAACTCCGTTTCACACCAGTCTGGTAGTGAATACGCCAGCTACCATGGACGAACTCAATGAGAGAGCCGATGGCTTTGTGCGCCTCGAAGAAGAGGAGGCAGCTAATGCTCGGACAACGTCGCTTGTGTCGACCGAGGAAAAGTCCAAGGCAAAGATCAGGCAGAAGCAGGCTCAGCCGCAACGTCAGACCACTTGGAAGGCCGAAAAAAGGTCCAGGGAGGAAGAGTTGATTACTCCGCTGAAGGTCACTCTGGCGAGGTTATATCAGGAGAACAAGGACAAGTTTCATCCACCACTGCCAATTAGACAACCCCTCGAACAGAGGGATCAAACTAAACATTGTGCTTTTCATTCTGATTTCGGACATCAGACTAACGAATGCAGGAACCTGAGGAGGCAAGTGGAGATGTTGATAGCTAGAGGGGAGTTTGCGAGTTATGTTCAAGGCTCGTCGATGGAGCAGAATCGACCAGTGGAACAAATAAAAAGGAGTCATAAACAGAGCTCCCACAATTCGCAACCAGTTCGTATAATCAATGCTATCCATGGTCGACCCGAGCCTAGTGAAGAGCCAGATGAGCTGCTACGGGTGCGCCTGCGGCAGGCACAGATGAAGAAAAGGGTCGGCAATGTGACCACTCTACACCAACAGAGCCCGTCAATGCAGATAAAGTTCGACTGGACAGACCTGCAGCGTGTCCAACTGCCTCATGACGACCCGTTGGTAGTCAGTTTGACAGTGGCAGAGTGCTTGGTGCGCAGAGTTCTGATCGATCCTGGGAGCAGTGCGAATGTTATGCCAAGGGACACATTTGACAGGCTCGACATTAAACCAGAGAGGCTCAAGCCCACCGGAAATCCCTTGTTAGGGTTCGATGGGAAGAGGGTGGAACCCGTCGGGATGGTGGAAGTAGAAGTTCAAGCTGCAGAGCGAGCTCTTATGGAAACTTTTGTGGTTGTGGAAATTCACCCCTCGTATAATCTCCTGATGGGAAGAGGATGGATTCACAGAGTCCGAGGTGTACCCTCAACTCTGCATCAGGTCATGAGGTGCCTCGGGCCCGATGGAGATAAAGTGATAGACATTCGGGGGGATCAGGTCGCAGCCAAAGAGTGTTATTCCGTCACACTAAAGCATGCAGGGAAGGGAAAGGCGCCCGTCCGGTCGACAAGCCCCAGATAGCAATTACAGGAACCTCCACTCGAGCAGAATAGGGTGGAGGAGTCAGCCGACTTGACCGAGGAGCCCCTTCTGGATGTGCAGATCGATCAGTCCAGGCCAGAACGAACTACCAGAGTGGGTATAAGATTGACCAGAGAAGAGCAGCAAGAGCTAGTGGATTTCTTATCCCACAATGTCGACGTATTTGCATGGAGTCATCTCGACATGCCTGGAATTAGTCCTTCCGTCTCCTGTCATTCCCTGAATGTCAATCCTAATTTCAAACCAGTGAAACAGAAGCAGCGAAGATTTGCTCCAGAACGTAATCAGATCATAACGGAAGAAGTTGATAGGCTGCTTGATGCGGGATTTATCAGAGAGGTGCACTACCCTGAGTGGTTGTCCAACGTCGTTGTGGTGCAGAAGAAAAATGGGAAATGGCGCGTATGCATTGATTTCACCAATTTAAACAAAGCCTGCCCGAAGGACAGTTTCCCGTTGCCTAAGATTGATCAAATGGTGGATGCCACCACGGGGTATGAGCGTTTAACCTTTCTGGACGCATATTCAGGTTATAATCAGATTCCTATGGACCCCGCAGATGAAGAAAAAACTTCTTTTGTCACCGAGCGAGGAACGTACTGCTACAAGGTTATGCCTTTTGGATTAAAGAATGCGGGAGCAACTTATCAACGACTTGTCAGCAAAGTTTTTAAGAATCAAATGGGTAAGATTGTCGAAGCCTATATTGATGACATGGTGGTGAAAAGTAGGAAAAAGGATGATCATCTGAAGCATCTGCAAGAGGTATTTGATGTACTAAAGCGATATGGGATGAGGCTCAATCCGACCAAGTGCTCGTTCGGTGTGAGTTCCGGGCAGTTTCTGGGACACGTGGTCAACCGCAGGGGCATCGAAGTTAGCCCCGCTCAAGCAGAGGCTTTGATTAAGAATGCCGAGCCAAAGACGATCAGAGAGGTGCAAGCCCTAACAGGACGAATAGCTGCATTAAGTCGATTTATTTCAAAGTTGTCAGACCACTGCAAACCATTCTTTGACACGATTCGGAGCCATGGAAGGCAGGTCTGGGGGGATGAGCAACGACAGGCATTGACTCATTTGAAGCAATATATGCAGAATCCGCCAGTCCTGTCAGCCCCAGAACCGGAAGAAAAGTTATTTCTATATCTTGGAGTATCTGGTGTCGCGACGAGTGCCGTCCTGATTCGTTGCAAGGAAGGGGTGCAATACCCAGTATTTTATGTAAGCAAGACACTGATGGAGGCAGAAAAAAGATACTCAAAGGCCGAACGGGTGGTACTTGCACTTGTAAATGCAAAAAGAAAGTTAAGGCATTATTTTGAATCCCACCCCATAGCTGTTCTAACAACTTTCCCAATCAGAACGCTCATGCACAAGCCAGAGCTCTCGGGCAGAATGACAAAGTGGGCCATAGAGTTGAGTTCATTTGACATAACGTACGAGCCGAGAACAGCTATTAAAGGGCAAGCGGTGGCCGATTTCCTACTAGAATGTGATGCCGAAGATACGGAAGAGGACCTTAGAAGCGGCTCTTGGAAACTTTTTGTGGATGGCTCCTCTAACCCGACGGGGGCTGGGATTGGGATCAAACTGCAAACCCCAGAAGGTACTTCCTTGAGCCAAGCACTCAGACTTGAGTTCCGAGCCACCAATAATGAAGCGGAATACGAGGCGTTGCTAAATGGATTAAAGTTGGCCAAAGAGCTACAGATCAAAAGTTTGACAGTGTATAGTGACTCGCAGCTGATTGTTCGGCAGGTAAATGGTGAGTACGCAACCAAGGATGACATGATGGGGGCATACCGTTCTGCCGTTCTGCGTAGAGCCAAGGACTTTGCAAAGATTGAATTCATACAGTTGCCGAGGGAACAGAATGCAGATGCAGACCGTTTAGCATGCAGTGCTTCAAGTTGTGGTGAAACATTGGCGAGGGTGATTCCAGTGGGAATAGTGACCCAGCCGTCCGTTTTCGAAGAACCGATGGTCTCGGACCCTTGGCAAGTCAACGTCATACCGTATGAACCGAGTTGGATTGACCCAATCATTACCTATATTCGAGATGGCGTTTTGCCTATGCAAAGGGATGAAGCTAGGAAACTCAAAAAGAATGCTGCCAAGTACGCCATCGTGCGGAACCAG